TGTGAAAACATTTCTTTCTCTTTTTTTTTTTTCCCACATTAGATTCTTAGCATTTCATTTACCACTGAACAGGTCTTGTTTTAAACCATTAAAAAAAAAAAAAAGATTCCCCTGGAACTCAGATGTTTCAAGGATAGCGGACTGACAGCAGTTTCTCCGATGCATTAGCTAAGAAGAAATAAATGTCCTTTTTAAGTACCTGTGGTTTTACTACCAGTGATGGACAAGTAAACTCCACAAAATTATTAAATAAAAACACCTGCATTAAATGATGTCATTGCTCTTGTGACCTAACAGATATCCACAGAACAGTTCATCCAGACACTATAGGATACATACGTTTCTCTGTAGCCCATTGAACTCTCTCTGCAATAATTCACGTTGTAGGGCACAAAACAGATTTTAAAAAAATATAAGGAAATTCAAATAATTACTCATCTTGATCATATTTATTTCTAGCTGCTGATTTGGGGTTTGGCTTGCTGTTTTTCCTGAGCGCAGTGGGATAAAAGCCGACGTAAACAGTGAGAGAAGCTACAGAGCAAACTCGAACTCACACAGACTGGACGCTACACCACTGGATGCTGAATGAGTTCATCAAAGAAATTTTTTAAAAAATCCCAGAATTGAATAAAAATGAAAACACAGCATAACAAAACTCACAGGATACAATGCAAACAATGGAAATTTATATCCATTGTATTTGTGTTACAAAACAAGAGTGACTGCAGATAACTAAAAATGCATCTTTTATTTTTATTTATTTATTTATTTATTTATTTATTTTTTTGGTTTTTTGAGACAGGGTTTCTCTGTGGCTTTGGAGCCTATGCTGGAACTAGCTCTGTAGACCAGGCTGGTCTCGAACTCTCAGAGATCGGCCTGCCTCTGCCTCCCGAGTGTTGGGATTAAAGGCGTGCGCCACCACCGCCCGGCCTAAAAATGCATCTTAAGCCTTGGAAAAACAACAAGCCAAACCCCAAATCAGCAGCTGGAAACAAATATGATCAAGTCAGAAATTAAGGAACCAGAAACAGCAAGAGTACAAAGAATCAATGAGGGAAAGAGCTGGTGATTCTGAAAAGATAAACAAGATCAACAAACCTATCCAAAACAAATAAGATCAGAAAAAGGAGACTTCACTGCCATGCCCATTACATGACTTCCAAGGACTTGAACTTGCCTGGTGACAGGGAGGAATTGAAGAAAAGTGAAAATAGATCCACAGAAAAGTGGGGTCTGGTAGGCTGGGCTCTCTGATGGAGAAACCTCAGAACCCCAGAGCTCTGAGTGTAGACTGCAGAGAATTGAACAGGAAGGCGGGATGACTGCATTGAGATAAACATGGAGGCAGAGTTTATGGTGGACAGCTGAATTAAGGAGGCAGGTTCAGCTAGCCTCAGGAGGAGCAGGCTCTGTAGGTGAGCAGTCTTCAGACTGTACACATCCAGGGGGCAGGGGAGTGAAAACTATGGGTTTGGCTTTGTTTTGGTTTTTGTTTTCGCACACACTATCAACATTTCATTTTGTAGGGATGGTTCATCATTCATAAATAAAAAACAAACAAAAAGCATTTACAAATCAATAAATGTAATGCATCACATAAATGGGCCCAGGAAAGAAACCACATTACCATCTCAACAAAGAAAAAGCTTTAGACAAATCTCAACATCCCATCATGATGAAAGCCCTGAAGAAACTAGAAACAGAAGAAATGTATCTCAACATACTCAGGCTTTATACAACAAAATCTACAATCAACACTAAGCCAAATGGGGAAAAGTTCTGAGCGCAGTGGGATAAAAGTCAACATAAACAGTGAGAGAAGCTACAGAGCAAACACTAACTCACATTTCTAAAAGGATCTATAGGTGGACTTTTTTTTTATTAATGAAGGACTTCAGCAAATTTGCAGGCCACAGACCTACAAAAAAAATTAAGGCATCCCTTTCTATCAGCAACAATCAACAAGAGTGATGCTTTGAAATTAATGAATTAATTATTATGAAAGAGAGAACACACAAGCATGATGAGCAGGTGGGTGTATAACAGCACACACGTGGAGGTCAGAGAGCAACTCTGTAGAGTTGATTCTATCCTACCTTTATGCAGTTTCCTGGGCTTGAACTCAGGTCATCAGGCATACACAGCAAGTGCTTTACTCTCATTGGCCCAATAAAATGATGCTTATAGCAGCAATAAAATTATACAGCACCAGGACTGGAGAGATGGCTCGGTGGTGATGAGCACTGACTGCTCTTCCAGAGGACCCGGGTTCAATTCCCAGCACCCACATGGCAGCTCAGACGTGTGTGTAAATCTAGTTCCTGGGCGATCTGACACCTTCACACCATTGCACGTAAAATAAAGTTAAACAAATCATAAAAATTCTTCTAGAAAATATACAATACCTTGGGATCATGTCAGACAAAAGCTGGGCAAGTCATTTATGAAGACAAATTATAAAATTTTACTGAGATCCATGAGAAATGATCTAAATAAACTGATGCTAATTTATAATGTTATAATCCGTATCCAAAAGGTCAATTCTTGCCCTAATTAAGCAAGAATTTAATGCACTGTCCACTAAATCCAGTGGATATTTTCATGGAACATGGTGGGTTTATTATAAAACTTTTGGAAAAGTAAAGGGACAAAAATATCCAAGATATCCTTGAAGAAGTTATTAAGATATTACATTAAATTAAGAATACATATTAACTGCTATATAGAAAAGAGTGGTTTCAAAGCCGTAGAGGAAACATTTAAGCTATGTGACCAACACAAGTTTGCATCCAGAGTATATCAGTCCTCTTGGGCATTTTAAAGAATAGAACCCTTAAGGTCACAAGGTACTATCATAAATGTCCTATCAATAAATTAAAAGGCACTTAGCTGTATCAGTCATCAGAGGAGGGTGCAGAAAATCAAGAAGATACATTTGTATATGACCAGACTGGTCTAATTTTAATGTCTGAACACAACCAACGTATGATGGACAGACAAGAACTACCATGCATGGTTGTGCAGACAGACTAATTTGGGAAAGTTTAGGTACAGATTGCAAAGACTGTGCACCTACAGGGCTGTGACTCTTAGAAACATTCTCCACATGAAGTATGCTCTTGGTGGCCACAGAAGTGTTTGTAACAGCACAGAGAACCTAAGAGAACAACCAGCAGGAAAATTTATGAATCAATAGTGACCGTCAAGCAGTGGAGGACTACAGTTGTCTGTGCTGTTGCAAACGCTTCTGGGAATCACGGGCACTCAAATTCTGTTTTATAGACTGTGTTAGGTACTACTGTCTCTGACACCATCTTGTTTTATGGATAGAAAAAAGGTCTCCCCACCTTGCTAAGCAGCAGCTGCCTTTGGAAGTGGCTTTCAACTGTAAAATGGCATGCCTTCCTCAAGGCATCCTAAATAATTTGAGACTTTTCTGTGCTATGATACTGGGACCAGCATCAAAGATGACAATTTTCGCAGGACTAATCTAAGATTTGATGCATTTTCCACCAATTGTAGTGGTTTTTTTCATGGAACTTGACATGTCTAAAATAAAACTTGCTATAAAGTTTTTATTCTACACATCTTTCACTCGCTTGGTTGGAGGTATCCCAAGATAGATTATACCTCCATATATATATATGTACATATATAATATGATATTATATATACATATATAATATAATATGATTATATATATTGAAGCTGCTGTGAAAGCTATTATTTCCCAGATTTCTATCTCATTCTTTCATTTTGTATATTGGAAGGCTACTGATTTTTGTGTGTTAATTTTATATTCTGCTACTTTGATAAAAGTGTTTATCAGCTGTAGAATTTTCCTGGTGGAGTTTTTAGGGTCATTTATGTATATAATTGTATCATCTGCAAATAGAAGTTAACTTGACTTCCTCCTTTCCTATTTTTATCCCCTTAATATCCTCCAGTTGCCTTATTGCTGAATCTCAAATTTCAAGTACTGTATGCAATAAGCATGGAGAGAATGAACATCCCTGCCTTGCTGCTGATTTTAGAGGAAATGTCTTGTGCTTCTCTCCATTAGGTTAACGTTGACTATGGGCTTGCTGTAGATCGCCTCTGTGTGGTTGAAGTATGCTCCTTGTATCTCTGATCTCCCCAGGACTTTTACTATGAGGAGGTGTTGGACTTTGTCAGAGGCCTTTCCTGCACCTAATGAGATGATTATGCGGTTTTGGTCTTTCAGTCTGTTTATATGGTGGATTGCATTTATCATTTTACATTCGTTGAACCATCTCTGCATCTCTGATATAAAGCCTATTTGATCATGGAGGATGATCTTTTTGATGTGTTCTTAGATTCGGTTTGTAAGTATTTTACTGACAATGTTCATAAGGGATATTGGTCTGCAATTCTCTTTCTTTGCTAGGTTTTTGTGTAGTTTAGGTATTGGTGTAAGTGTGTAAAAGAACTGTGTAACCTTGTAAAAGAGCTGAAAAGGACTACAATGGAGATTGCCAGGACAGAAAGTTTCTTCCTGATGTCCTTGATAAACAGTCATCCACATGTTGGAAGGAAAAAGGATAGGATGCTAAGCGGCCGGTCTAATAGTTACAGAATTTCTAATGGAACCAGATTCCTCCTCATCCTGACCTTCAACCTTTCTTTTAGGTTCGGACTGCTGCTCTCAGCAGCCCCAGGTGGAAAGGGACTGGAGCATCATCTCACTTTACACTTTCATGACATCAGCATCATGCCTAGTTGCCTCTGAGCTCCAGCCCAGGCCAAGTTATGGACACATCCAAGTTCATGTACCTCCTCAAGTGAATCTTTGCTCTCCAGCCAGTGCTAGTGGTCTGACATCCATTACTCGGTGACAGAGCCCCCTCAGCCATGCCAGCCTCTCTCAGTGATTCCGAGTCCTCTCTCAGGTGCATTGTGACACACATTCCTCCAGCACGAAACATCCTATGTAACCATAATGCACCCACAGTCGAAGTCTGTGTCCAGCTTACCTGTAGAGATCTGGAATGAGCTTGTCATCAAAGCGAACGCACAGGTTGTTGAGGACTTGCTCGTGCTGGCCAAACAAGCGGATGTAGTTGGAGACTGGGAAAGGCTCCTTTGAAAAGCACGTGATGGCCTCCACCAACTTATACTTGCTCATGTACAGTCGGAAATATGTCCCATCCTTCGCATTGCCGGTAATTATTTCTGAACCCTGGGGGAGAAGGAGAAATGGATCAGGAAAACAATGTCCAAAACATTCCTCGACTTTGGGAACTTTACCTTAGTGGTGTTTTGATGTTTCACATATAATAGGCAAGTTCTATCCTGTTGCAAACGACAGCTGTTGACCAGACACAAAGGAAGACAGCGGCGCATTGGAAATGACATTTTTCATGACCAAAATGTTCCTCGGCACACTTTCAATTGTCGTCACATTGTTCTGCGCTTTTAAATCAGTTGCTAGGTGACAACCAACTCTATCGCTCAATATCTCACCCAGCAAAGGAGCTGGGTCCCTTTTCGGTGATGGGTATGAAGTATCAAATTTCACAGAACCATCTGAAAACAGGATCTTGGTCAAAGTGATCGTGAGGAATTCTAGTTGTTTTAAAGAATACTTAAATGAAAGGTGAAAACCTGGTGGTTAGGCTTGGGAAGGAGGGTGGACAATGACAGCTGGGACATTGATAATTCAGTTCCCAGAAGAAAGGTCGAGGACCACAGCCTACACCCCAGACAGTCTGTGGGTGACCTTTCTCAGGACACAGTGTACATCCCAGAAAGTCTGTGGGTGACAGTTTTCAGGCCACAGCATACACCCCAGACAGTCTGTGGGTGACCTTTCTCAGGCCACAGCATACTCCCCATACCATCCGTGGGTGACCTATCAGCTTGTAAGTTGTTCAAGGTGTGGATTTTGCCCCTTAGAAACCTATCAAAACTGCCCCAGGAACCAGACAATGAGGAAGGGCTCTCTTATAACCCCATGCCACGATTATCTTTTCTATTTCAGCCCTACCAGCTACCGACTCCTCACTGGGGCTCTGCTCCCTGTTGGCCTCAGTAGACAAACACAGGCTGTGTTGGTAAAGGCTGAACTTTTACTTCGCCCCAAGACTCTGGATTTAGTTCCCTACAACACCAATAACACTCTGCTGAGTGCATATAGAGCTAAGCTTTCGCTCTGCACTTGAACGTGGCGTTTATAAAGCTAAGGCAAATTCAACTTGTCTAATGCCAAATGTTTACTTAGTCCTGGGTCCACCTGAGGGCTTCATCTAAATATGGACACACAGCGTGATGGTCAGTGTGCCTGTCAACTCACTAGGATCTGAACCCCCCTAGGAGACAAGCCTCAGCACACCCATGGGACTTCGCTTATACTAGGTTAACGTCTGGGAGGAATCATCTTGATTGGGTCACATGAGGTGCTGAGACCCACCCGAAAAGTAGGCAGCCCCGGTCCCTGGGCTGGGGTCCTGGGAGGCACAATGACAAGGGCTTGTGACAGGCTATTCAGTAAACAGCCACCCTAGAGAACGTAACAGGGAGGAGGTCATGCTGATGATGGATCTTAGCTGTGGAAGGCAACTCGTGTGGATTGTAATGAGCTTTGGCACTGTCTCGGCATGGCTGGGGTGTGGGGTGGGACAGTCTGGAAGCTTGGAGTGTGCTGAAATATTGCACATCACCGTGATGTGATGAAACCCCCATCAACCTGGTTTGCAGTGAGATTACTATTGCACATCACTGTGATGTGATGAAACCCCCGTCAACCTGGTTTGCAGTCAGGTTACCCTGGAAGTGCTGCCCATTCCTCCTGACACTCGCTGCCCTGATTTTTTTTTTCCTGATCACACATTTTGGAAAAACGATCCAGAATTCACACCAAGTGGAAGTCGTGGGATTAATCAGTCTCAGTGTTCGAGAAACTAAGTTCCCGGCTACCATGACAAACACACGATTTAGGATTTAATAGCATCCAAAGCGGAATTGTTGTGACAAATTTCTTTCCTCTGTGGCACACAAGCCAACCAAGCATGTGGGCCAGATCTCCAGACTTCTCTTCCGTTTGCTGGGAGAGCTCATGGATTACTGAAGTGGCTTCCAACTTCACTGTTCTACTTACAGAGAACTCAAGACGTCTAAGATTGGTCTGGACCATGCCTACTGTAAGAACAGTGATTCAGTTTCCCTGGGGGGAAATACTGTTCGGGAGGCCTGCAATCTTTGTCAGCTGGTTATATTTAGGTGACTGCCTGGCCATTTTGGCAACAATTTTGCATAAATTAATTCCCGCTCCAAAAGATTGCCATGGAGCCATCCTATATATATTTTTTTCTTAGAAAAATGAAAATGGGAAAAAAAATCTGCTAAGGTCTACTGCACTAATTAAGAAGGAAGCCCACCTGGCAAATAGTTAATGACAGCCAGGAGTCCTGTTCAAGGACTGTCATAGCACCAGCCAAAGAATCTGCTTAAGTTGCACTGTCCTTAGAATTCTTGTTATCTGAAAGCCCTTCTGTCTCTTCTGACTTGATGCAGAGAGCACAGGCCGAGGTTGATGCAGGAAGACTCTGGTGTGGTCTCAAATCAAGACCAACATTTCCTGCTCTTGTGTGGTTGAGGTTGCTTATCTCTGGTGACAGAAGAAGAGAAACTCTGGTGCTTCGCAACCAGACACCTGAAGGAGTGGGGAAGCTGGGTGCAACGGCGCTTGACCACACCCTCCATACCCAAAAGACTGGGTGGGGGATTGCAAGTTTGGGGCCACCCTTTCAGCTAGATAGAAAGATGCTGTCTAAAAAAAAAAAAAAACAACGCCCCCCCCACCCACCATCAGTGGGTGAGGCCAAAGAAAGTTAAAAGAAAAAGAAGAAAATATAATATCTGTGTTTCCCTCTAGAAGGAGGTTTCATTATCACATGGAAGCAGGGTTTACACGAATTTGCACCATTCACAGGCCACCTGCTGTCCTCCAAGCCGTGTAAGTGATCAGTAATTTGCTTTGTACAAATGATCAATAACAAGTCCAGGACTGAAGACAAGAGGGATGACTTATTCCAAGCCCATGAGAATCAAATGGAAGACCTGGGATCGGGTTCCTGAATTAAGGGGCTAGGGGTTAATGACTAGAGACATTTTGAATCCCCCTTTCCTAATAGCTTTGAAGGGTTTTTCTGGTATATTCTACTTATACTTGATTGGCCAGAACCCACCACATGGCTAGCTCTCCCTCCAAGAAAATCTGAGAAATATCTTTATGTTCAGTTGGCCATGTCATTAACCCTAAAAATATTCAGAAGACGATAGGAAAGGAGACTCTGCCCCCATTGAGGGGAAATCAAGTGTGACGCACAAGAAAAGGAGTCACCATTTGATAAGAACCCAGCCAGGGACGATCTGTCAGAGGAGCTTCCTTGAGGAACTGTCCAATTGACCAGCTAAAGGAAAGCCCCACCCTTAGCTCCTACCTCTCCCAGGTGTAATTCATGAATGGGAGGGAAACAGTTGGACCTGGTGGTCATTCCTGGTCCAAAGAATCTGCCTGCCCCAGTAACACAAAGGCAGATAGATGTCTATAGGCTGGTGGTATAGTGGTATATCAGAACCTATCAATGGCGGAGTAAGGAACAAAGACTCTTTGGTGGCCATTTTAAATGTTGACATGTACAGTGAGAGTGTGATGTGCAAACCAATGACTGAGACAAAAATTTTACCTCCCCATAAAACCAATTATTATGACTAGAAGTAAAACCCAATACTTACGAAATCAGGCTGTGATCTTTGAACATCCAAGGGACTTGGTATGGTAGGTTTGGCAATATGCAGATAATGATAAGACCCAGGAAGAATGCCACCTAGAGAAATGGACTGTTGGTTTATATTTCATCAAAGGACAAACAGAGATGCTCATGAAACAGCAGCTAAAGTATGGCTGGTTAGGAAGGAAGGCCCTGGGTGGTTAAACATTATTTAATCAAATCAGTACAATGGAACTAGAATACTGTATAATATAGCCACCTGTGCAAGACATGCAAAGATGTATCCCATTGATATATAACACCTCTCTATACCTAACTCACTGCTACTTAACCAGACCAATAGCTCCAGAATGTTGCCATGGTGTTCCCATTTCCCATACTCCTCCAAATAACCAAAACATTAAAAACCATATTTTACATGGAAAATTAAGAAAGTTCCTTGTTTAACACTTTAGAAAATCATTATTATAAGTCCTTAAGATTTTGGAGATAATCTTGAACCTGACCAAGCTCTAGTCTTTGGGGCCCCTCCATTCTCTTACCTGTTTGAGGTCATTCCCTAAGATCCTCCTCAGAGGAGAGCAGCAGGACCCCCCTGAGACATCTTCTAGAGAGAGGAAGGCAGTAGTGGAATGTGGGCTTTGGTCTCCGTGGCCTGGTGTTCCATTTATTAAATCAGGTTTCTTAAATACATTCAGGCCCTATACACACATGCTTTGCAGATAGTCTGTGAACCTCGCAGAACTGAACATCAAATTCTGTAAATATGTATGTTTCTCATGGTGGGAAGGTCCACAAATATTTTAAAACATGGTTTTAAAATATCTCTTTTCTGTCTTTTTATCTCAACATAAAAAACCAACAACCTGTCTTCCTCTTCCATAGGCAACCTGAGGTGACCTGTGAAATGGTTCACTCCTCTCTTGACTCAGAAAATCTTGTAAAATCAGGCAGCTCAAGAAGTTCTTATTCTCACATTAACTTTGGAATACCCATGAAACTACCCAAGTCACCAAAGGTATGTAAATCCGAAAAGCCACTAAGTATCTGAAGGATGCCATATTGAAAAAGCAATGTGCTTCAATCTGGCAATATAATGGTAGAGTCAGTAGATATGCCTGTTGTAGAATATTATTTTAAGACATGTTACATTTGTTTATGCTGTGAAATATTTGTTTAATAATGCAAAGACATGTTACATTTCTTATATTGCATTTGTTAGACTCTACAAAGCTGTGTTACTTTGCCTATCTAAAACATCTGATTGGCATACCACAAGGACCTGTGCTCAACTATGTGCATAGCAGCATTATTTGTCATAGCCAGAACCTGGAAGCAACCTAGATGCCTCTCAACTGAAGAATGGATAAAGAAAATGTACATTTACACAATGGAGTACTACACAGTGGTAAAAAATAATGACATCTTGAAATTTGCAAGCAAAAGGGTGGGTCTAGAAAAAAAAACCATATTGAGTGAGGTAACCCAGACCCAAAAAGACAAAAATAATATGTATTCACTCCTAAGTGACTTTTAGACATAAAACAAAGGAAAACCAGTCTCCAGAGAAACTAGACAACAAAGAGGACCCTAAGAGAAATATACATTCTCCTGAGTAAATTGGGAGCATGGGGGTCATGGGAGAGGGCAGAAGGGGAAAGAAGAGGAAGGGAAGGGAGTGGAGTAAAAAGTATAGTTCAATAAAAACAATTTTAAAATGTTTTTTTCAAAAAAGAAAGAAAAACATCCGATTGGCTTAATAAATAGCTGAACAGCCAATAGCAAAGTAGGAGAAAGGGTAGGTGGGGCTAGCAGGCAGAGAGAATAAAAAAGAGAAAAAATTTGGGAGAAGATCAAGGAGAGAGAAAGGAAGGGACCAGCCACCCAGCCAGACATGAAATAAAAAGGAGAGAAAAGATATACAGAAATAGAGAAAAAGAAAATCCCAGAGGCAAAGCATAGATATGATAATTTAAGCAGTGGTACTTGCCTTTAGTTCCAGCCCTGGGGAGGCAGAGACAGGTAGATCTCTGTGAGTTCGAGAACAGTCTTGTCTACAGAGCTAGTTCCAGGACAGTCAGGGGTGTTACACAGATAAATCCTATCTCAAAAAATCAAAAAGAGAAACAGAAAATCTGGCAAGAAACAAACCAAACTAAGGATGGGCATTCATAAGAAAGAATAGGACTCCATGTGGTTTATTTGGGAGCTTGGTTGTGGCCCCACAAAAGAGCCAAATTAATAAAAACCAACTACATATGCCCAAAGCAAATAGTAGGGCTGGACACAAGGTTGATGAACCCAAAAGAGAGATGAATTCCTGCTCTACATGCTTAAGGGTGCAGAGAGCAATGCTGAATTTAAAAGGTTAGATGTAGATTCTCTAGTCATTGGTCATATTCAAGTCAACAAGAACATACCCAACCTAAGACATGCCTTTGAACTTGTAGAGCTCACAGATGCATTAACCTATACATGAACTCCCCCTGCCACATGGAGATGATCACCACTGAAAAGAAACAAATTGTTTCTAGGCAGGAAGAAAGGGTTGTGCAGAAGAAAAAGGTATTCCAGGAGAGAATGGAGAAACAGAAGCTTGAGGTACAGGAATAAATTAAGCATAAAATAAATACAAAAAATATGTCTTATATGAAAGCATTGTGTTAGGGGGACAACAAGGCTGAGGAAGTGAAAATGGACTGTTTCACAGCTGTGAATGGCTGAACCTATCCATGAAGAGGGCAGGCTCTAGAGACTGGAGGGATGACACATGGTAAAGGGCACTTGCTACCTTTGCAGAGGATTGGGGTTTGGCTCCCAGCACCCACATGCCCGTAACTCTAATTCCATGGTATCCCATGCCCTTTTCGGGCCTCCCCAGACACTATACACATGTGGTGCCCAGGCAGCACAACAATATACAGAAGATTAAAAAAATAGATAAATGTTTAAAAAGAGGGGCAAAGGAATGGGCTGCCTATAAGTGTCTCTTTAACTATGAACTTATGGTGAGGATGGGAATTTAGGGGGAAGACGTCAGGGCAAACCAGTGCTCACTAGCCCTGAGATCTCTAGAGAAGTTACTGATGATTTTCCAGTCTATAAATTTGGGACTGTTGTTATGAGGGGAGCTCATAATAAATGCTCAGTATACAAAGGTCCACAGTAATGATATTGCCAGTTCACAATGAATGCCAAAAAAAGACAGTTTTTCCTACTCTAGGACAGTCCACTAAAGACCAAGGATCTATGTTTAAAAGATACACGTGGCTGCTCTGAACACTGTCCTCAGCAAATGAGAAAAGGGCCCTTCCACATACCTTGGATCTTGGCTCCCTTGTACATGGGGATGAGGCGGTCAAGGTCAGCTGGTGGTTCAATCATAGGCTCAAGGGTTGGGTCAAAGAGACTGAGCATAGCTGCTGCCAGCTGGAAGCCAATTTCTTTGGAACTGAAGTTGCTGTGGGTCCACTCGTTTGAGTAATATCGGTTCGAGAATTTAGTGAGGGGGCCAGCAGCTCTGATGGCTATGTCATTGGTGTGGAAGGTGGTGTCGATCACAAGTCGGCCATCATAGACAAGGCATGCATCATTAAAGGCTTTAAATGTTTCATAATCCACATTTTTCTTGTAGAAGCTGAAGAATACCTACAAAGTGAAAAAAACCCCACATCATTAATGTGTGTGGTGGTTTGGACGAGAACAGCCCCACAGGTTCATATGTTTGATGGAACTGTTTGGGAAGGATTAGGAGGTATGGCCTTGTTGGGGGAGGTATGTCACTGGGGGTGGGATTTGCAAAGTCCACAATATTCCCAATTATCTCTCTCTCTTGCTTCCTGCTTGTAGATCAGATGTAAACTCTCATCTACTGTTCCAGTGTTATGCCTGCCTGCCTACCACTATGGACTCTTACCCTCTGAAACTGTAAACAAGCCCCAATTAAATGTTTCCTTCTATAAGTTGCTTTGGTCATGGTGTCTCTTCATAGTAATAGAAAGGTAACTAAGACAATCTGTTATTCCTTTCTGTGTTCCTTGTTGGGGATCGCAAAGCTGGGCAAGTGATCTCCCAGTTATTGCTCTTAATCTCACCTGTCCCAGAGTGTGGACAGTCTTTAGAGTACAGAAAATGTCTATGGAAGTTTATCATCACTCTATGTGATGAAGAGGGGGGAGGGAAGGGAAGGGAGGACAGAGGACATTACGGACCTTTGGTATGAAGAACATATCAAGGTCACCCTACATCACTCTTTATCATTCAATTTATAATATGATAGGAAGAAAGATATCAAGTAAGGGAAGCCCTTGCACAGGAATGAGAATTTTTGCTCCGTGAGTTGGAGATCATATTTCCCCTGTTTTCCAACACTTGAAGTCTCTACTGCAGCCCCCTTTCCACCTCCTTTTCTTATGTCTGACTCAGATCTCTCAAGCTTTCTTTTTGGAGTTACTTCATCTTCTCTTGAATCTTCAGAGCATTTCACTCATGAGTTTTAAAATCCAGAAATCTTAAAAAATTTAATTACACCTTACTTATTTATTGTATGCATATGTATACTTGAGTTTGTGCATTCTATGTCTTGGATGTGGAGGCCAGAGGACAGCTTGTGGGAGTCATCTTGTGCATCCATAATGTGAGTTCTGAGAAGCAAAGGTAGGTCCAGAGACATTTTCTGTACTCTAAAACTGGGTGACCTCTGGGGTGACTGGACCTGTAGCCCTGATTGCATCACAAGGAGCAAACATCTGAGCCTTGGATTCACTGGCACAGTGCTCACCAGAGACACAGCTCCAACTATACCAATCAGAGGAAGATGGATAGACAAGGTAAGAACACACTCAAGACCACAAAAAGCAACATGACACATATGAAAACAAGTGGCCCTACAAGAGCAAGACTTGAACACCCAAATATAGATGATGAAGAAGAAAATGACCTAAAAATAACTTTAAGAGAATGTTTGAGGCCCTTAAAGAGGAAATGAAAAATTCTCTCAAAGAAATGGAGGAAAAGAAAATCCAGGACAGCCAAAACAGTCCTGTACAATAAAGAAACTTCTGGAGGCAGGAAGTATAGGCAGGTCAGCCAGACAGGAAGTAGAGGTGGGACAATGAAAACAGATATATAGAACCTCTGTGTGATTTTCTTTGGGACTTGCTGGCTGTGGGAACAGGGCAGGACAGAAACTCCAACAAGCAGGCCTGCTTGTTACACAGGAGGACCAATGGAACCAAATCAAAGACCCAGATATCAAGCCACACACCTACAAACACCTGATTTTTGACAAAGAAGAAAAAATATAAAATGAAAAAAAGAAAGCATATTCAACAAATGGTGCTGGCATAACTGGATAGCAACATGTAGAAAAATGGAAATAGATCTATATATATTGTCATCCACAAAACTCAAGTCCAAATGGATCAAAGACCTCAACATAAAACCAACCAGTCTTAACCATTAGAAGAGAAAGTAGGAAGTACACTTGAACGCATTGGCACAGGAGATCACTTCCTAAATATAACCTCAGTAGCACAGACACTGAGAGAAACAATTAATAAATGGCACCTCCTGACTGAGAAGCTTCTGTAAAGTAAAGGACATGATCAATAAGACAAAACAGCAGTCTACAGAGTGGGAAAAGATCTACAACAACCTCACATCAGACAAAGGGATGATCTCCAAAATATACAAAGAACTCAAGAAATTGGTCATCAAAAGAACAAATAACCCAATAAAAAATGGGGCATAAACCTAAATGGAAAACTCTCAACAGAGGAATCTAAAATGATTAAAAGACAAATGCTCAACATCAGAGAAATTCAAATCAAAACAACTCTGAGATTCCATCTTACACCTATAAGAATGGCCAAGATCAAAAACACTGATGGCAACTTAATGCTGGAGAGGTTGTGGGGTAAAGGGAACACTCCTCCATTGCTGGTGGGAGTGCAAGCTGGTACAGTTCCTTTGAATATCAGTATGGCAATTTCTCAGAAAATTAGGAAACAACTTTCCTCAAGAACCAGCAATACCACTTTTGGGTATATACCCAAAGGAAGCTCAATCTTACCGCAAGGAAATGTGTTCAACTATATTTATAGCAGAATTCTTTGTCATAGCTAGAACCTGGAAACAACCTAAATGCCTTTCAACCGAAGAATGTATAAGGAAAATGTGGTACATTTACACAATGGAGTACTACATAGCAGAAAAAAGTAATGACATCTTGAAATTTGCAGGCAAATGGATGGATCTAGAAAACATCCTATTGCGTGAGGTAACCCAGACCCAGAATGACAATTATTATATGCACTCAGTCATAAGTGGTTTTTTAAACATAAAGCAAAGAAAACCAGCCCCCAAATCACAATACCAGAGAACCTAGACAACAGAGGACCCTAAGAGAGACATACATGGATATAATGTGTATGGGAAGTAGAAAAAGACAAGATCTCCCAAGTAAATTGGGAGCATAGGGACCTAAAGAGAAGGTAGGACGAAAAAAAGCCCAGGACCAGATGGTTTCAATGCAGAATTCTACCAGAACTTCCAAGAAGAACTAATACCTATACTCCTTAATGTATTTCACAATATAGAAACAGAAGAGTCATTGCCAAATTCCTTTTATGAAGCTACAGTTACCCTGATACCAAAACCACAAAAAGACCCAACCAAGAAAGAGAATTACAGACCGATCTCACTCATGAACATCGACGCAAAAATTCTCAATAAAATACTGGCAAACCGAATCCAAGAACACATAAGAAAAATTATCCATTATGATCAAGTAGGCTTCATCCCAGAGATGCAGGGCTGGTTCAACATACGCAAATCTATCAATGTAATCCACCATATAAATAAACTGAAAGAAAAAAACCATATGATCATTTCATTAGATGCTGAAAAAGCATTCGACAAAATTCAACACCCCTTTATGATAAAGGTCTTGGAGAGAATAGGGATACAAGGGTCCTACCTAAATATAATAAAAGCTATTTACAGCAAGCCAACAGCTAACATTAAATTAAACGGAGAAAAACTCAAAGCCATCCCACTAAAATCAGGAACACGACAAGGATGTCCACTCTCTCCATACCTCTTCAACATAGTGCTTGAAATTCTAGCAATAGCAATAAGACAACATAAGGAGATCAAGGGGATTCGTATTGGAAAGGAAGAAGTTAAGCTTTCGTTATTTGCAGATGATACGATAGTGTACATAAGCGACCCCAAAAATTCTACCAAAGAACTCCTACAGCTGATAAACACCTTTAGTAATGTGGCAGGATACAAGATCAACTCCAAAAAATCAGTTGCCTTCCTATACACTAAGGATAAGGAAGCAGAGAGGGAAATCAGAGAAGCATCACCTTTCACGATAGCCACAAATAGCATAAAATATCTTGGGGTAACTCTGACCAAGGAAGTGAAAGATCTACTTGACAAGAACTATAAGTCTTTGAAGAAAGAAATTGAAGAAGACACCAGAAAATGGAAGGACCGCCCTTGCTCTTGGATTGGGAGGATCAACATAGTAAAAATGGCAATTCTACCAAAAGCAATCTATAGATTCAATGCAATCCCCATCAAAATCCCATCAAAATTCTTCACAGATCTGGAGAAGACAATAATCAACTTTATATGGAAAAACAAAAAACCAAGGATAGCCAAAACAATCTTATACAATAAAGGATTGTCTGGAGGCATTACCATCCCTGACTTCAAACTCTATTACAGAGCTACAGTATTGAAAACAGCTTGGTATTGGCATAAAAACAGAGAAGTCGACCAATGGAATCGAATAGAAGACCCTGACTTTAACCCACAAACCTATGAACACCTGATTTTCGATAAAGGAACTAAAAGTATACAATGGAAAAAGAGAGCATCTTCAACAAATTGTGCTGGCAAATTGGATGTCAATCTGTAGAAGAATGAAAATAGATCCATATCTATCACCATGCACAAAACTCAAATCCAAATGGATTAAAGACCTCAATATCAGTCCGAACACACTGAACCTGATAGACGAGAAAGTGGGAAGTACTCTACAGCACATGGGCACAGGAGATCGCTTCCTATGTATAACCCCCGCAGCACAGACACTAAGGACCTCATTGAATAAATGGGACCTCCTGAGGCTGAGAAGCTTCTGTAAAGCAAAGGACACTGTCACTAAGACAAAAAGGCAACCCACTTACTGGGAGAAGATTTTCACCAACCCCGCAACTGACAAAGGTCTGATCTCCAAAATATATAAAGAAATCAAGAAACTAGACCGTAAAAGGCTAACCAACCCAATTATAAAATGGGGCATTGAGCTGAACAGAGAATTCTCAACAGAAGAACTTCAAATGGCCAAAAGACACTTAAGGTCATGCTCAACTTCCTTAGCGATCAGGGAAATGCAAATCAAGACAACTTTAAGATACCATCTTACACCTGTAAGAATGGCTAAAATAAAAAACATCAATGATAGCCTTTGCTGGAGAGGTTGTGGAGAAAGGGGTACCCTCATCCATTGCTGGTGGGAATGCAAACTTGTGCAACCACTCTGGAAAGCAGTGTTTCGGTTTCTCAGGAAATTCAAGATCAACCTACCCCTTTATCCAGCAATACCACTCTTGGGAATATACCCAAGAGAGGCCCTATCATACAACAAAAGTATACGCTCAACTATGTTCATGGCAGCATTGTTTGTAATAGCCAGAACCTGGAAACAACCTAGATGCCCTTCACCGGAAGAATGGATGAAGAAAGTATGGAATATATACATATTAGAGTATTACTCAGCAGTAAAAAACAAGGGCTTCTTGAATTTTGCATACAAATGGATGGAAATAGAAAACACTATCCTGAGTGAGGTAAGCCAGACCCAAAAAGAGGAACATGGGATGTACTCACTCATATTTGGTTTCTAGCCATAAATAAAGGACATTGAGCCTATAATTCATGTTCCTAGAGAAGCTAAATAAGAAGGTGAATCCAAAGACAAACACATAGGCATCCTCATGAATATTAACCTTCATCAGGCGATGAAAGGAGACAGAGACAGAGACCCACATGGGAGCATCGGACAGAAATCTCAAGGTCCAAATCAGGAGCAGAAGGAGACGGAGCACGAGCAAGGAACTCAGGACCACGAGGGGTGCACCCACACACTGAGACAATGGGGATGTTCTATCGGGAACTCACCAAGGCCAGCTGGCCTAGGTCTGAAAAAGCATGGGATAAATCCGGTCTAGCTGAACATAGCGGACAATGAGGTCTACTGAGAACTCAAGAACAATCGCAGTGGGTTTTTGATCCTACTGCAGGTACTGGCTTTGGGGGAGCCTAGGCAGTTTGGATGCTCACCTTAGGAGACCTGGATAGAGGTGGGCGGTCCTTGGGCTTCCCACAGGTCAGGGAACCCTGATTGCTCTTCGAGCAGATGAGGGAGGGGGACTTGATGGGGGAGGGGGAGGGAAATGGGAAGCGGTTGCGGGGAGGAGGCAGAAATCCTGAATAAATAAATAAATTTAAATAAAAAGAGAAGGTAGGAGGTGAGAGGATACTGTGGAACCATAGTCTTGTACCCTGTAAAGATTTGTAACTTGTATCGGTTTAATAAATGAGTTGTCTTTACTGAGAAGTAAGCTTTGAATTTTATCTTTAAAAAAATCAAAATCGACAAGGCCTCCATTTTAGACTAAGAGAGACAGAGAGGCACGGGGATGGAACACAATTTATCAGTGTCAGAAATAAATGAGGTGAGAGACATCCAGATAAGCTGGCTGGTGAAGCAGAATCAGAATAAAAAATAGAAGTATCTATTCTGAAGAGAGGAACCAAGGGTGAGCCTTGGAAATCCACAAAAGAAGTGAAACTGTACTTGGAAAAGGCAGAAAATCAACAACAGCAAAAAGAAAATGGGATGCAGAGTAACCATAACGGAGCCTTGGCCCACAGTTCCCTGCAGTGGGGAGATGGAAGACGCACAGTCCTGGTCTCAGGAAAGGCCCACAGCCACCACTGCCTCAAACTCAGTCACTGGTTTTGGAAAGACAATGATTTCTCTGGTACATGCACCAATGAGTACGAATAAATCCCACTTTATAGCACTGTATGACTCGAGGTGTGTTGGATGCTATCTCAAAAGATAAATTATTGTTAAACACTGAGCTACCCAGGGGTCTTATCAGAGGACCATTGTACAACAGGGAAGCTCAATTTTGCTGCCACAGTCACTGGGTGAGGGAAAGCCCAGAGAGACAGCTGGATGGATGCTGACCATGAAGGCAGGAGGTAGATGGCAGGAAGCTCTTCTCAGACTGGGAAGTGATGTGGGATTCCTCTCTTATGCTATGAATATGTTTTATTACCATTGGTTAATAAATAAGCTCCGGCAGCTCCCTGATCAGCAGAATCTCCATGTCAGGCCATTTTCAGGAGCTTCTCGGACCTGCAGACCCATGAACAGGACTGCTGTAACTTTAAGTCTGGGGTTGCCCAGGGGCCTGGGTTACTACTGTATTCTTACTGGGGTGTGTTATAAGAAAGCAGAATAGGAAAACCCCTTTCCAGCACCCCTTGGGGTGTCCCTCACTTGGTGAGATTCTCTCCCTTTTAATGTGCAGCGAGCAGAATGACTTGCCCGTAGGAAAACTGTGGTAGCAGAGCTACTGACTGGCTACTGAGGCCTGGTCTAAGGGGCAGACACCCCAGCTCCCATTCCACTTGCTTTTAGAACTATCACTGTGTTTTGACAAAGCATAGGCTCAAGAAAGAGCTAAAATCTCAGCTGAAGTTGATCCAGCATCGGTAGCCAGAAAAGTCAATGGGCCTTCTAGGTGATTCCAGCTCTCTCTACTGTCTTAACTCAGCTACGCAAACCCCTAAACAAGATCAATAAATAATGATAATAAATTGTCTTAAGTCACCACATTGGTAGAAGCTTCTTGCTTCTTGGCCAAGGACAACCTGGACAGTTTAAAACATACCCCAAACCCTGCAGCCGTAAATTCTCTGCTGCAATCTCCCAGAATCCCTAGCCCCTGGGAGATGGTTCACAGGGATGGACTTACTGAGCACTCCAGTCGGAAAGGCTTGGTGGAAGTGGTGAAGCTGGCGCTGTGGATGGGATCTGGGTCCTGGCCGTCGTTCCACTGAGCCAACAGCGAGTCCTTATAGACAGTCACCCCAGCGGCAGTGAGTGCATCTTGCAAGGCACTCTCTATCACATAGTTGTTGAAGCAGGTTATGTTGGAATCGGCTGGGGGATGTACGAAGTAGATGCACGCCCCCTTCATGCCAATGTGCAAGAGTGTCTCCACTGCCGTATAAGCGTCAATTGTATTCCCATAGACAATGACCTTCCCTAGAAAGAGAGGGACACGCTAAGACACACAATTAAAAAAAAAACTTATTAGTCAAATGCTAATAATGCCGAATTGCTCCCTCTAACCCTTTCATTTTTCCGCTGCAGGAAGCCAGTGGTGTTTCCTAGCAACGGCGACCAAGATAATTTAGTAAAGAATTGGCACAAAACATCCCACAAAGTAGTCAAGTACTTCTAACGCAGAAGTAGGACATTCATTTATGTTCCTATAATTTGAAAGTTGAAATTATGCTGGAGGAAATGGTCTAGAATAAAACCTTTTATCTTGTTTTTGTTCCCTATTTGCTACACTTATTAAGGAAACAAAATTGCTGAAGTCTACCAGGCATACAACTTCTCGAGAGCCAGGAAAGGACACCGGCAAAAAAACACATCCGCCTATGGGTGCGACACAGAGTTTTAATATGGAAATGCTGACCCGGGTTGATTTCAAAGTAGCTCCCTTGTTTCTGAGAACTAAGAGTTGCAACAGTCTGCTTTCGATGTGTAATTTTATAAAGATTCAAATAGCTGGTTTTAGAATTGAATGTGTCAAGACCTCGCTAGAGGGATGGAAGGGTATTATTTTGCTCAGCAAATATAAAATCATAAGATAAGCTGGAAAGAATTCCCTGTATAAGAAAGCATTCTGAGAGGAGCAGTCAACCCCACTTATTTACATATTTCAAAAACGCCACAGAAATAATTACAAATGTTATTATTTTACCAGTTTTAAGATCAGCGACACTCTAAACTGAGTGCAGCTTCTACTGTTTATGACATTGAGTTGTTATTTTTTTCTTTTTTAACCTTTTTTACCAAGAAGAAACAAGTGCCTGTAGACTCATTTTTTCTGAGATACACTGTAACAATTTTACCTTAGTGTCTACACTCACTGAGTCTCTGTTTTCTTCTTCTGGTTCATACAAGGCTATGAAAAGAAATTTCATAAGGCAAACTAAACATGTGTATTTATTCAGTTTAGCTGAATAAATTATGCAAAACTTGCTTTCTTTTTTCTTTCCTTTATTGAAATTTTTTTTCATATATACTTTGATTATGGTTTCTCATCTCTTCAACTCCTCCAAACTCCCCCTTACCTCTCCTTCCATCCAAATTCACAACCTTTCTGTCCCTCATTAGACAACAACTAGGCATCTAAAGAATAATAAAGAAATAACACAAAAACAAACAAATCAAAATAGCACAGAAAAAGCATGAAGAAGAACCAAATAAAAAGCATGAGAAACACATATGGATACAGAGGCACACACGTTTGCTCACACAGGTATCCCACTTAAATATAAAACTGGAAGTCATAATATATACTCAAAGGACCTGAAAGTTTTCTTTTTTTTAAAGGCCCTGGCTCAATATTATGAGACAAAGAACCTCCAAACAAGCCACTGAGTTCATTCTGTAGTGGCCATCTACCACTGAGCATGGAATCTACTCTTAAGAGTTGTTTGTTTCCTCAGGGAGACTCCCTTGGAGAAAACTAATTTTTCATTTGTACATGGTTATCAACTGGAGACGGCTTCCGGGTTAGGGATGGGGACACATGTCCACTTCTCCTTTCAGCTCTAGGACCCCATTTGGTACAGACCTGTGCAGGCCCTGTGCATGCTGCCCTGGTCTCTGAGTTCACCTGTGCATGGGTCCTGATGTATTCAAAAAGACTGGTTTCCTTGGCATCCTCCATCCCCTCAGGCTCTTCCACCTTTTCTACTTCCTCTTCTGCAGAGTTCCCTGTGCACTAAGGGGAGGCATTCGATGGAGACATTTAGGATTCGATGGAGACATTCCTTTTAGGACTGAGTAAGCCCAGGATTCTCACACTCTGCATATTGTCTGGTCGTGGGTCTCTCTATTTGCTCCTATCTCCTGTGGGAGGAAGCTTCTCTGATGGTGGCTAAGCAAGTGAATGATCTTTGAGTATATAAGATTGTCATTAGTAGCCATTTTATTGCTATGTTCCTTTAGCAGAACAATAGTATTTGGTTTTCCCTAGGTTCCTTGCCTAGCTAGTCTCAGGATCTTGACCACCTAAGCAGTGCTGGGCAGAGGTCCCATCTCATGAAGTGGGCCTTAAATCAAATCAGATAATGGTTGGTTACTCCCACAAGCTTGGTGCCACTATTGCACCAGCATATTTTGCAGGCAGGTCACCACTGAAGACCAAAAGGTTTGTATCTGAGCTGGTGCTTACTTTTCTCATTTGGTAGCATGCATAGTACCTTCCAGTTCCATGAACAGTAGACCATAGGGGTAAAAGCTCTAGAGAGTCACCAGTTGGACTTCCAATGAGTTATGTAGGTGTTGTCTTCAGCAATAGGACCTTTCCATCAGTTTGAAGGGAACAACCAGTAGCCTTGGAAATAGCCTGGGCTGTTTCGGGGTTCCTATGGAGCTTCTTTGGTCAACAACTTCATTAGATGTAGCCCATTACTAGTACTGGAAGCTTCATTTGTAATTGTCCAGTTGGCGCTCCATATCCCTCATCACTTGACAATTTCACTTAGATTGCATTCGTATATGAATAGGAGGCTTCTACTACACTGGGCTTCCACATGACTCCTCAAATGGCCCTTAGTTTTACATGTCCTTCCCCATATTCCCTCCACTGAACCTCTCTTCCCTCCTCCCCCCAATTTGATCCTCCCTTTCCAGTACTCCACCCTGCCCTTGTCCATCCATAACTATCTATTCTATTTCCACTTCCTAGGGAGATCCCTTCCTCTCCCAGTCTCTTATTCTCTACCTAATCCTCTGTGGTTATATGGATTATAGCTTGTTTAACAATAACTTATCCACATATAAGCAAATACATGTCATATTTGTTTTTCTGGGTCTGGGCTACCTCACTCAGGATGATTTTTTCTGGTCCCATTCATTTACCTGTGAATTTCAGAATTTCATTCTTTAAATGACTGAATAATATTCCATTGTGCAAATGTACCACATTTTCTTAATCCATCAATCCATTGATGATATGTTTCCAATTTCTGGCTACTATGAATAAAGCAACAATGAACATGAATGAACAGTGTCTATGCTGTAAGGTTATATGCCCAACGGTGGTATAGCTGGATCTTGAGGCAGATCAATTCCCATCTTCCTAAGGAACTGTCACACTGATTTCCACAGTGGCTGTACAAGTTTGCACTCCCAACAGCAACGAATGAGTGTTTACCTACTCCACATCCTTGCCAGTATGAGCTGTCTTTTTTTTTTATCTTGGCCATTCTAACTGGTTTAAGATGAAATCTTAAAGAAATTTTGATTTGCATTTCCCTGATGACTAAGGATGCTGAACATTTCTTTAAGTGCTTCTCGGTCATTTGAATTTCTTCTTTTGAGAATTGTGTTTAGAGCTGTACCCCATTTTTAAATTGGGTTATTTGTTTTCTTGATGTCCAATTTCTTTGAGTTTATATATTTTGGATATTAGCCCTGTATCAGATGTATAGATGGTAAAAAAAAAAGCTTTGAACATCTGATTTTTCATAAAGAAACCAGACATACATACTGGAAAAAAAAAATCGCACCTTCAACAAATAGTGCTGGTCAAACTGGATGGCCACTTAGGAACACAATAGATTCATACTTGCCACCTTGCACACAACTCAGCTTCAAATGGATCAAAGAACTCAACATAAAGCGAGATATACTGACTCTAATAGTGGCACAGGAGAAGACTTTCTGAACAGAACAGCGAGAGCACAGACACTAAGAACATTAATAAATGGGACGCCATGAAACTGAAAAGCTTCTGTATGGCAAAGGACACCATTAAAACTTGTTTTCGGTCCAAAAAGAAGGCTTATTTAGTAAAAAGATAAGCTCCAAGAACTTCCAGATGGCGCCGCTGGGGCAGCCTACATCTAGAAAATACTCCCGTGTGCCTGCTCCTCTGTCATGGGATGCCAAGCCAGCAGTGTGTGTGGGAGGGGGAGAGGGTAGCCTTACTCGCCTTGGCCAGTATTGGGAAGCAGGTTCTTCAGATCAGTAGTTCCTTGGCTGATAGGGTCAACACTTTGTTTAAAGTCCTGAAGCTCCTGCCTGCTGCAGAACAGCAATCTTGGCTGTCCTGTACCACCATGAGTAGGCCTGCCAGGAGACAAGGCAGGGCACTAGAACTGTCAGGGGGCTGAGTCCCAGTCTTTCTAAATAGACGTTACAAAGCAGGCTCATTTTCAGCTGAAGCAATTTAAGTGTGTATGCCATACAGAGTCCAGGGTTTTGTGTTCTGCACTCTGCCATGCTAGCTGAGAGCAATTCCACTGTGAACGTTTTCCTGCATACCCAGGGAAGAAGGGCAGCTCTGCTGGAATATGTAGCAATCTGGACTAACAAGTGCTCCTAATGGACTGTCAACAGCTTTGACGATGTTTCCAACTAAAAAAAAATCAATATATTTTATAAGACCTTTACTTTTATTGGTAAGACTAGTGAAAGTCTAACCTAGAACTGTTTTGGCTAGTATGGAAGTTTTTGAACTGTGACAAAGTGTCTGAGAGATATCAACTTACAAGGAAGAAAGAGTTATTTTGCTACAGAAGCTTTGGTCATGGAACTTGGTTCTTTTGGACAGTGATGGGGCAGAACATCATGGTGGGGGGGTGTGCCTGAGGGAGCCTGCCTCCCCCTTATTATGACTCTGAGGCAGAAAAGACAGGAAAAGGAGGGATTCAAGTCCCCCCTTCAAGGGTGTTACTCTATTGAGCTGACTTCCATCCACAAGATATCTAAGGGTCATACCACCTCCCAATAGAGCCACAGGCTGGGGACCAAGCCATTAGCATATGGGCCATTTGGGGAGACACAGGACCCGACTGTAACAGCTTTCTTCAGTTTGAACTAACAGTCCCTAAAAGAGAGGCTACTCTTTAGTTTCCTAACAGACAGCTATCACAACAGCGCTGCATAACAAGCCTCCCCAAAGCCAGTGCCAAACAGCTTAAACAAGCATGGTGTGCAGTGTCACACACCTGTGGAGA